CTTTATGTCTTCCCTCCGTCAGTGTTATTAGAGGGGATTTTAGCCTTAAGCACCATTGCATTGTGATGACTTGGGGCACGAGAGAGGGGACAGTGGGCTGCAGAGCTAACCATCTAATCCGTGTATTCCTCCACAGAACACAGCACCCCATTGACTTCCCGTCGTGGTGTGAAGCTCGCTACGACCCGCAGACCTGTCACATCTCCGTCGTTCAGAAAGCCAATCCGAACCTTCCATGTGTGCACAGCGCGGACTACGAATGGGGCTCAGCCGGGACCCCGGAACCCACTTCAGGGCCCATCTACCCCACCCACCTCGGCAGATAGACTGCACCCCCCATGTCTACCAGACCACTGTGCCGCCTCCCTATCCCGGGGACCCCCCATGTCTACCAGACCACTGTGACCGATGTACCGCCTCCCCATCCCGGGGACCCCCGTATATCCACAGACCACTGTGACCGATGTGCCGCCTCCCTATCCCGGGGACCCCCCATGTCTACCAGACCACTGTGACCGATGTACCGCCTCCCCATCCCGGGGACCCCCGTATATCCATTACAATCCAGCCGCCTCCTTGCTGCTTCCATCAGGGCAGTGCCATGCGGCCAGCCACGTCTCCTCCCGGGACTCCGCACTAGCCATGCGTCCTCCTGGGACTCCGCACCAGCCACGCGTCCTCCTGGGACTCCGCACCAGCCACGCGTCCTCCTGGGACTCCGCACCAGCCACGCGTCCTCCCGGGACTCCGCACCAGCCACGCGTCCTCCCGGGACCCCGCACCAGCCATGCGTGCTCCCGGGACCCCGCACCAGCTATGATAATGTGCTTATATCCTAATACTGTGTATGACCACTGAGCGCCAATAAACCACTCTGCTCCACCTCTGTGTCTGCACTCATCTGTACCCGCCCACCGGTTTATAGATTCCTCTCTGTGTGCAAACAACGGTCCTAATCAGAGGGCAAGCACACCTCACCCTATTCCATTGTGCTCAACAGTCTGCCCCTCCCACTGAAGGACCACCCAGAGGAGGGAGCTATAGAGTGTGCCCCTCCCACTGCAGGACCACCCAGAGGAGGGAGCTATAGAGTGTGCCCCTCCCACTGAAGGACCACCCAGAGGAGGGAGCTATAGAGTGTGCCCCTCCCACTGCAGGACCACCCAGAGAGCAAGATGCTATAGAGTGTGCCCCTCCCACTGAAGGACCACCCAGAGGAGGGAGCTATAGAGTGTGCCCCTCCCACTGCAGGACCACCCAGAG